ATATATATCATGATTTGGTCGGAGGAAGGGTTCGGCGGGTACAATGAGAGGGATAAACGCAGGAAATTATTTGATACAAATTAGGTTGAGAAAAAAATGGTTACCTAAGTGCTTTAAAGTCCCCACAACCATGTCTTCGTAGATTACGTGATTGTCGTTCTCTGCTACGTCTCAACAATTGGTTATGGACGAGCTGCTGCAAGCACATGGCAATCTAACCCATTCTCGTGGGTACCCGCTTGAACCCACCCTAATTTAGATAGAAAAAATTTATATTTATTGGATTCGGGTTTAAATTTTCTCTGATTGATAAAATTAGGGGCGGAGGCGAGAATGTTAATACCTACCTCCCACCCCTGTGCACCCGTACTAGCTCCGCTTAATAATATAATTAAAATTTTATTTATATATATATAAACTAAAATTAGAAATATTTATATATAAAAATTTGTATTATTTTAGTTTTCTTTTTTTTAAATTTATTCATATTTATTTATAAAAAAAATAAAAATATAAAAAAATATAATAAAAAAAAAGGTAGGAGCGGGACTGGAGGCGAGACAGAAAAACCCGAATTCTACTAAGGACAGAGATAATTACCTAAATTTTATCTCTAATAGGTATCGAGAGCAAAGGTAAAAGCGATTTAAATCTACGGGGCAGAGGCGGGAAACGTAAAATTCACCCTCGCTTTTGCCCCCGTCCCGTACCCATGCCTAGCTGCAAGGACACAAGTAAACTCACAAGTAAATTTTATTACTGTGTCGTGCTATGCCACGTGGTGCCCCTAAGAGGGAGAAGAGCAACACATGCAACGTTTAGATCAAAGTCTCCTCAATACATTTAACTTCTACAATATCAAAAGTACAAGAATTTCATGGCGAAAGCTTTTAATTTTCAATGCTCAGACAGTTACTATATACTATTTATGCTACTTAGGAATTTCAACTGACCATAGACTTAATCTGTTCATCACTCTCAAACCTGAAGGCAATTTAATATTGAATCCTTAATTTTCTTTCTCAAATTCTTTTCTTGTTGAGATGGTCCATTTATTTTCTTGTTGCATGGTTCATGTTTCTTGGTCCCTGAACTTGAACCCTACAGCAAAGTCAGCACAATGTCAACGTTTTCTGGCTCCAAATTACCTGTTCCCAGATTTCCCAGTAAAATTTATTTTATTCCTTTTTTGGTTGGTGACAAAATGATTGGCTTAAACAGTTATACTATAGCTTGGATGCTTCCTTTCCTAATTCGTTTCAGGCTCTTGATTGTATTTGAAGAGGGTGCCTGTTCCAATTCTTAAAGAATGACATATATATGGTCTTCTATCATAAACTTTTTCAAAAGAAATTTTAGAAGAAAATTAAAAAAAAATAAAATAAAATAAAACACACCTTTTTATAAACTAAAATTAATTTGTATTTAAATTAATATTAAGATTTTTGGAGAAACTAATATATATTTTTAAAAAAATAGCTTATAAATAAATTAATTTTAACATTTAAAGAAGTTTTTCTCTTTATTTTTCTTTCTAACTTTCTTATGAGTGTCTATGAAAAAATTTATTAAAAAATAGCTATTAGAACATACCACATGATGTCAGAAGAACTTTATCCACACTGGAGTGAAGCTGCTGAGTTGTTCAGACTTCATAGAATATCCATATATACCTCCTTTTTCCAACAATGTACAATAATTAACATTTATTTATTGGAGTTTTATTTCCCTGCCATGTTATTGACAATCATTTTTTCTTTGAAAATCCCTACATTTTGCTCTGATAATCTATGCAAGATTAAGTGTAGCTAGCATATTGTCATGGTTCCTGTCCTTTAATATCATATTAACATTTTTCCCTTATATATCTTTATGTTTAGACTTCTATAAT